TCTGATTTTTTTTCCTTCTTCATCAGCGGTTCTTACCTTTGCCTGCAGACCTAGATACTCACTAGGTGGCTGTGAAATAATACAGCTGCCTGGGCTCTGCCTTGTGAGATTCAGATGCAACACAGCTGCAGTGGGGCCTCTGTGCCTTTTAGTGTAAAAGGTCCCCAGCGTAAGCATGGTCATACAGATGCCCTTGACATCACTATGGAAACACAGGCTTCTTATCCATTGTGCAGTCTTCCCTCTTGTTCATAACATACAGGATATTCCTGTGGAGTTACCCACACAGAAATATACCCATACAGTTAATGAAGCGACCATTCACTGGGGTGTGGCACAAGCAAAGAAGACAGGACAGTTACAGAAGAAAGCATATTACAACAGTACCACTGGACTTCACTCCAGTGGGTAAATGCCCATTATTGGTTAAAATAAGTTGTCCAGGGAGTAACTTTAAGACTTTAGTGACTGAAGCCATCACACACACACACTTCTATTCCAAATTATTTTGTCACTTCTATCTCCCTAAAAATACACTCTTGCAAAGAATGATCTCCAACGCAGCTCATTAGGAAACAGAACCACCTTCCCCACTGTTTATGACTTGAGGTTACAAACCCACTTTCCTGGCACTTTCTCTAAATTTGTAAGTAGTCGTTTGTGTGGAGATTGGGGGAGAATGAAACATTAAAAGAAACAAAGTGAAATAAAGGGAGATAAAATATTGTGCCCTATGATTGACCCATCAAAGTACAAATAGCTCATAATTCTATCAGAAAATAATGTTAAGACCCAATTTGTTAGCTTGGGTTTATTGCTGTAAACTCTAGCCATATGTGGTTACCCAGATGTGAAATGTGGCTAGAGCCACAGATTGAAATGACACTATTTTGAAGATATTAGGTTAAATTAAAATATTTTAGTAAAATTAACTTCCCTTGTTTCTTTTCTCTTCCCTAACATGACTATAGGACCTTTAAAATTACTTATGTGGCTCTCACATTATATTTCTACTGCACAAGGCGTTAATCCAGCTTTTTGCTATTTAGCTCTCCTAAGCCTTGCCTGCCACCTAGTGTCAGAACTCAGGCAGTACAGGCAAATCATTTTTCAAAAACCATCTGTCCAAGTGTGATCATTTTCATCTGCAAAGTAAAAATAGTAGCCTACATAGGCAGCTTTACTACGTGCAGTTTTCACAAATAATGCATCGCATTTAAGCCCCACAAGAAAACTCCTGTAGTGGAAGTTATGTTCCCCACCCAAATGTTATCTTTGAAAAAAAAGGTTTCTCAAGAAAAATGAGGGCTAAATGAGGCATTCCAATCAAAAGTATCTGCAGGGTTCCTAGGAAATTACAGTCATTACAGGGGGCAGAAATATGGGCCCAAAGCTGGATGGAACAACTGCTCTCCACACAATTATCCTCCGTTAAAAATAACACAAGGCACCACAGCACGCAATCTCAACATTCGTATTCTGCATTGCCATTTTTTTACAGATGACAATGTTTGTTTGTTTTTTCATTTTACAGATGAAGGTTCAGAGAGGGTAAGTGGCCTCGAAGAGGTCACACAGCCAGGGTGTGCCAGGATTACGTTGGCCTCCAGAGCCCAAACACATGATTCCCTTTACTGCCTCATTCCCAGGGTGCTTCAGCTTCTCAGGGCCTTTATACCTGGACAGGATACATGAAATAGGAGGCTTTACACCCAACCAGATCTTCTTAGAGAGTACGCACCACAGCATTTGCTGAAATGCAAACACCCAAACCAGGTTCTCCTTAAAGCTCTCTCAGTTACTGCAGGAAAGTAGTATCAGTCTATCTTCAAAGCGGAAGGTTTAAATTTTTTGCATGTGTTCAAACATGTGCAGGAATAAATCTCAAAGATACAGGATGCTCTGTGCCCCAAACTCATTACCTCCACAAGAAATGCGACTTTCACAAAGATCCCTGAACAACTAACTCCACATGACTCTTACGTTTCTGACCCTGCGGCGTCTTTCCACCTTGTTACGTGTGCTGCCCTCTTGCGGGGTAACGATTCCGCTTACAGAAGGAAAAAAGAAGAAAGGCACAAACGAACAAATAGTGAGGGGAAGAATTAGCATAAGAGTTAACTCTGGCTTCCAAAAGAAACTAACCCACCAATCGGCCCCTTCAGCTTTTTTTTCTATGGCTTGAGGCCTTGGAAGTCCATGTGGTCTCTTACTCAACCATTATGTCAAGTAGAATTTTTAAAACAATAAAAATAGTCTTTTGTTCTGATTCCTTAAAAATATCATATCTGGACTCTTGTGGAAGTTCACCAATGCCATTTGCCTTTAAAAAAGGTTCCACTACCCACCCTATGAAGATTCGGTGGCGTTTATTATTTTTAATACTTGAACTCAAATGAAACCTCAATCCAGAGCTAACACTCCATCTGTCGAAATTGGGGAAGAGTCCCACCTTTTCCTCTATCCTAAAGAGTTTATAAAATATCTCTCCTTGTTTATACACAGCCATCAAGGAGCCTCTCTCCTAATCCAAGCCATTAAAATCACCCAATAAACTTCTGACTAGGTTTTCCTGGGGCCGCAGTTCCTTTATGTGGCCAGCACTACCCACAGAGCCCTTGGGACAGTGTCAGGCACCGTCTTGGATATTCACACACAGCCTTCTGCAGTTAACACTCTGCAGCTTCCACTAGACAGTTGTGGTGCCTAATTTTATGTGTCACCTTGACTGGGCCATGGGATGCCCAGATATCTGATTAAACATTATGTCTGGGTCTGCACTCCTGGCTCCCGGACCTGCAGACTCAGACTGGAAGCTACACCATCAGCCCCCTGGACCTCAGGCCTACAAAGCACACCACTGGCTTTTCTGGGTCTCCAAGCAGGCAAACTGAAATCCTGAGACTTCTCTGCCTCCATGGTCATGTGAGCCAATACCTTTATGTTATCTTCCTCTTGGTTGTGTTTTCCTATAAGATTTCTTTCACACTTGCCTTTACTGTTCAGAATTTCTACCACCAGTAGAAAAACTACATCACCGATCACAGAATGACGAATGGACAACATTGATTAGCCTATTCGTTAATATCCATTTAGCATCCACTATATTCCATGTATCAGGGACACAGCTTAAGAAACCTGGGAGGGAGTTAAGATTTCCCAGTAGGATTCAGAGGCCCTAACTCTCAATGGATATATGATCAGCAGATGGCCAGATAGGCTGCCTACGGAGGTTCTTTCACAAAAGTGGTTCTCCAGGCAATAGGCAGGAGAAAACAGAGCTCTCTGCAGGCAGGAAACAAGCCTGTTCCTTCAACAGCGGTCAAGATGAAGGGTGTGAGGGATTAAATTACAAAGACAAAAGCTGGAGGAATCTATGCAAAGCCAGAGAAACTAAAATCTGGAGGGCATGTTGAGAATCCAAATATTCCAGGATGAAAATTCCATTTTTTTTCCATTTGTGAAGGCTTTGCTCAGACTTCTCACTGTCCCTCTTGCTGTTGCACCTGGTAAGTGGAAGGTACTGTCCGCATTTCTTATTTATACAGTTCAAATCTTTATTGAGATTTACCCCTACAATTCTCCCTTTTCCAAACTCAAAGGGTTATGGGATGAAGCCAGGATGACCACACAGACAAAAATTGATGGTTCAGTCATGTCCTGGCTTTCCTTCAAGCCTTAATCACTTTGCCACACAACCCTTCAAGCCTAGTTCCTAGAAATCGAAAACTCTGTTGTTGATAGCCTAACCCACTGAAAAGCTTTGCCTGCCCTGACTCTCAACCTCCACCCAAGATAAGAGATATGAATCACACAGATAAGACTAATGACTTCAACCGCTCTATCCTTGGGAACAAACTGTCCGAAGATACTCAGCACAATGGCCAACTAGCTGTGGGCACTTCACGGCGCCTACATACTTCATTAAAATGTCAGTGATGCTTTTTCTTGTCTTCTTCAAACTCTCACTTGAGGAGGGAAAACAGAGTCAGGAGAGATTTGTAAAATCACTATAAGTTTAAAATTACACCTACACCTTAAAATATCAGAATAACGGCATGGAAGGCATGACCTGCTCTCTGCCTGAGGGGAAGGCTATCTAATAAACTCCTCCACATACGAGACTTTGGGGAGAGGGAATCTATGGTTCTAAGACAAATGTGGCTGACGGTTCAAACCTTACACTCTCACTAAGGGAGTCAAAAGCATGCCTGAAGTGCCACGACTCAAATTACCAAAGCAAGAGACAGTAAATTAATTGCTTGGCAGAGTCCACGGACGAATATGAATTATTCAGGAAAACACAATTCATGGAGAAGTCTCCTAGTTTAAATGTAGATATGACAAGGAAAGGGGGAGAGAACACACACACACACACACTCAAGCATGTGTACATAGATACCTAACTGATTATTCTAGTCTTTCTCTAGAAATAAGCCAAGTATAGATATGGGTCTCACCAGAAATGATCAGAATAATTTTATAAAACTTTAGAAATACCCCATTTTAGGTCCCTCGCAAAAATTACCACAGCTTTTTTTTTTCTTTCTTTTTTTAAATCATTCATCATCTTCTCTCCACACTTTTGGAAAGGGTCTTAAATTATCTAAAAGCTCCTGTCACTATAGTTCTGTGTTAATTTAAGTTTATGAATAAAGATGTTCTACCTTCAAAGGAAACTGCGGGAGTTGATACACACACAGGGCTACTGGTTTCCCAGGATTCTTTGAGAAAAATCACTACAAAAAAATTAAGTGCACCCAGGAAAGCAAAAGACAAAAGACAAGCCTGATGAACATCTTAAAAAGATGTCCGGAACAACACTCTTTAAGCATCAAACAGTTAAACCGCTTTGCTGTGATGTATCTCATGCCTCCTCTGATTATTCACACACCATCAAAAGCTCTTGTTGACTACCTGTGCCTAAGGTGTGGACTCTGACGTGTGAGAGGGTTTTATTAATTGACCCCAGCTGCACAGGATGGGCCCACAGGGCTTACCTGAGTGTCCCCGGAGGTGCTGGCTCGAGGCGGACATCAGCCTACCGCACACCACAAACACGTAGGCCAGCAGGAACCAGTGTGACAGCAGCACCGACTTTGCACAGACCCCCATCCTAGAGGGAGAGCAGGACATGGGTCAGCGAGCGCCAGGGGGTGAGGCTCTTCAGCAAATGTGATCCTGGGGAGATAGGGGGCAGGGGAGAAGCGAGGTGCAGGGCCACGTCTCCCCAGGCAAACTGAAGGCCCGCCACACCTTAGCTGGGCTGTGCATTCTCTCGATTTTTTATAATTAAGAGTTTTCCAAACTGGCAACACACTTCGGTGAGATGTCTATTTATGAGCCCTAAGGGTGTAGCACGCACTGTCCCGATAGAACATGGGGATCCCAATAGAACACACAATGGACTGTTATTATTCATCCACCAGAGAAGAAGGAAATCCTGCCATTTGCACCAATTTGGAGGGACCTTGAGGGCATTATGCTAAGTGAAATAAGTCTCATGGAGAAGGGCAAATACTGTTGGATCTCATATGTGAAACCTAAATAAGACAAGCTCAGAGAAATGAGTAGAGTGGTGGGTATCAAAGGTTTGGGGGAAAATAGGGAGATTCTGGTCAAAGGGTACAAACTTCCAGTTTAAAGTTAACAAGTTTGGGGATCTATGCACGGCATGGTGACTGTAGCTAACAGTCCTGCATCCTGTATTCAAATGTTGCTAAGAGAATACATCTTAACTGTTCTGACCACAAAAAAGAAACAGTAACTTGGTGACAGGATGGAGGTGGTAGCTAACGCTGGGGCGGTAACCATTTTGCAGTTTATAAATGTATAAAATCCACACAGTGTACACCTTCAGCATACACAATGGTATATGTCAATGACATCTCCTTAAAGCTGGGGAAAAAATAAATCTAATTTCATGTGAATGGACAGTATTAAAACAACTCCTCAAAGACAACTCGGCTTACAAATGTGGCTGTGCGGTCTATTGTGAAACCATCCCAAAACAAGAGTAGATGAAAGATTAAAAATGCATACACCCCACCCAATTTTCTGTCCTTTTTGACCTTACAGGACAATCAGAATCTAACTTTTTTGTTTGCTCTTTCTTAATTTTTTTCAAACAAAAGTCAGAGTGCTTGGCATTGGAAACTTCAGAGCTATTAGGTTCTGCCTGGCACGTCTCATGATGCCTATGATAACAAGACCCACCACAGAGGGTCAAAGGATCCACCTTCTTTAATCTACACAACATGCATAAACATTCCAATGCAGGTGATAAAGACATGGTCCAGGGCATCAGATTCCTGTTTCAGTCACACTAGAGACAAAGCTCCTGAGGAAGTTCTGGAAGGATCTGCTAGTCCATGGCTCTTGGCCCAGCAGCACCTCAACCAGGCCCCTGATTCCTGGAGACCTAGTGCCCGGATGGCAGTCCGGTGAGCAGGCTCTGTCGCCAACCCTCTCTCAGACTCTCACAATTTAGTCAAATAGAGCTCATCAAAAAGGCATCTGATCACTCACTGATTTGAGACTCAGTCTGCATTTGAAGCCACAGGGCACACAAGGTGTTCAGACCATCTCTGAAGAACTCAGTGTTAAAAAGGACACAACAGTTGGCTGCTTTCTGCCCTTCACCGTGGACATCCGGAGCACTCTAAACTGACACGGAGACGTCCGGTCACTCTGCTTTGAAGGCCCTTTAACTTCTCAAAGCACGCCTTCCATTCCCGACCCCAGCATGTACACACACAGGAGATGGAACCCCAGGCACAGTTCAGAAGGGGGCAAAGAAAATGTGGGTGTCTGGGAGCCTTTTATTATGTATAACAATTATTACATGAATAATTATATATAAATTATGTAATTTATAATTTATAAATAATATATTAATTATATTATTGTTTTAGGAGATTGTTAATATTTCTTATTAGGGTGGGCTTAACATATTAATAATTAAATTATTATTAAAGCATAGAGGTTCAAAACTCCATATTGGCTGAATTGGGGGACGAGGTGCTCTGTCCCACTCATAATATTTTAAAATTCCAATTGTTCACTCCAGTATCAGGAATTGATCTCATTGCTACAAAGATGTCTCTCTTTCTTACGCAAGGGTCAAAAATTCGAATGCCTGCAAGAGAATGTGCAGGCTGGCTGGGCCCACAGCCCAGGTTTGCAGCAGCTGTGCACAGGTCTCAGCCCAGCTGCCACCACACCAGCCAGGTGCTGTGGCGCATAAATGTGAGCCCAGGGATGCCAAGAATAACTTTTCAAGGGAAATTGGAGTCTGATGTACAACTTGCACATTTTCTATGTTGGCAACTAATTCCAATTGTTTTGTTTTAAGAACACGGAGTAGACCAAACAAAATATATTTGCACACTGCATCAAGCTCCCGCTCCCTGGCTTCCAGTCTGTCATTGCCCCAAAAGGGAGAATTTTAAGTAATCAGATGAATGGAGTATAGTTTTTCATTGCTATGTAACAAACACAAATGGCAAAACTTAATTTAGAACAATGTGAACATATTATCTCACAGTTTCCATTAAGTCAGGAGTCTGGCAACATTCTAGCTGTGTCCTCTGTGCAGGGACTCCCAGAGCTGTAATCAAGATGTCACCTGGGTGTGTCCTCATCTGGAGGCTCAGCTGGGGAAGGACTGGCTTCTAAGCTTTGTGCTGTCAGCAAAGCCCATACCCTGGGGCCTATATAGCCAAGGTGCCTGGGTTCTTGCTGTCAGCCAAGCTCTCAGCTCCAAGAGGCGGCATTCCGACCTCGGCCACATGGCCCCTTCAGTCTGAATCTCCTCTTCTGGGAAAGGCTCCACCCCTTGCCAGGGCTCACCTAATTAGGTCAACCCCACCCAGGAAAATCTTCCCTTTTAACTGACTCAAGATCCACTCATTTGAGATCTTAATTATATCTGCAAGTTCCCTTCATCTTTGCCATATAACCATAACCTAACCACAGGAGTGAACCCCACCAAACTCACAGAAGTGCCCACCCCAAGGGGAGCAGATGACACAGGTCGTGAACATAAGAGGATACCCATCTTAGAACTCTGTCTACCCAAAATGGGGCAAACAATCCATTCAAAAAAGTTTACCCGTGCATTTGGTTTGCGAAGGTCCAACCGGACACTCAATCCATCTTTTAAGTGTTTATAGACACAGGTCAATCACAGGATTTACATCACTGAAAAAGGACTCAGAGTAAAACATTACCCAAAAGCAAAGCAAAACCTCCCTAGCTGTCCTCTCCTTCAGTTGGCATTCCCAGAGAGACCATTAGGCCAGCATCCCTGCCCAGTCCATCCATCATCCACTCTCTGAGATGTGAGCATAAGTTGCTGTCTCTCCTTGTAAAAACCATCTGACTCAACCCAGTTCTGAATCTACCGCCTTGTTCTTAACCCAATTTTCAAATGCCCAACTCTTAGTTCTCTTATGCTGTGCCACATACCATTAAACACTTCTGCCCTGCCTCTACCTCAATATCCCACCCATCTTAGAGTCTAAAATTCAGACTTGGTCTTTCAGGTGAGCTAGAATCTCTTCCAGCTAACCTACAAGTGAATTCGGTTGCTACCTGTTTTCCAGCTCCTGCATCACCTAAACTTTTCTAGATGGATTCTGCCGATTTTGGAGAGTATATTTGAGATGATCTGAGTCCCAAAGGCTGGGTTCCCTGGGAATCCAACTCTAAGATGGAAACTGGTGAGCAGGAGGCTAACTGAGGGATGCTCTTAGGATCATCCCCTAGGGAAGGGGAGGGAAAAAAGAGAAGAAAGCAGAACAGAAAGAAGAAAAGGTGTCAGATAACCCCCCTGGGATGAGAGGCCAGGCTTCTGTGCCTATCAGTCATTGGATATGAGCTGCTCCTAAAAACAGGGGTGATTGTAGGCAAGGTGGCTCTATGAATTGAGGACAATTCAAAGAAGCTGTAGGCCATCTTCTGCAGCACTCCCAACACTGGAGGAAATAAACCATTCATTCTGGAAGAGGCAGCTGGGCACTGCATCATACTGCCCAATACAGCCCACCTTCAGATGCAATAGAAGATCCCACAGCATATGCATAATTTATTCCGTGGGGGCTGTGGGAGAACACCCGCCCTCTGAGGTATAAATAGCCCCTGCTATATGCATTAAAATGTCATGGGAAGAGGTTTCAAATAGGAACCTATCCCAGCATGGGCCTGTTTTGCCTTCAGATCCACTTTTTCTCCTCCCCTGGGTGACTCCTGCAGGCTGCATTTATTTCCCAGGCTCCTGAACCCACTGGCTCCTGCTGGGTTTAACCAGTGAGAGACACCAGCTGGAGCCTCCAAGGGGACGGGGGAAGGCTGAAGAATGTCTCCACAGGTTCTCTGTCCTGGGCAGCATCTAGGCAGGGGCCACTTCTCCACAGAGCCAGTTCCCACCAGCAGGGCTCACTATTGTTTCTGCTCCTGCTGAAGGTTCCTTCCCTTGGGCACAGGTGAACAGCAGTTCTTTCCCTTATCCCACTGGCCCCAGGATAGTTGCTGACCTGTGGGCTGCCTCCCTGTCTGCTGCTTGACCTCTCTGACTCCCCCATCTGGTGACACATGTGTAACCAGCTCCCAAAATTCCATTTCCTCTGCCCCACATTCTCAGAATGGTCTCTATTTCTTCCTTGAGGCCCAACAATAAATCCCAAATGAAAAGTCTTAAGGGCAGCCATTCCAAATCTCAGGTGGGGATCCGTGATCCCACTTCTTACACAAACGATTCTGAGTACCAGGTTCCTGGAGAACAGCAACAGGTTCCCCAATGCCTGGGATAAGCATGTACTTAACAGAAGCTACGATTCCCTGTGGAAATGTCTGGGCAGCTATTTAGCGATAATTCCTTATTTCATTCAATAATCCAGACTCCCAGTAGGAGAATTTCTAACCTACTTCATCTACTATGATACTTTAATTTCTTCTATGCAGAACATTTTTATCCCAACATAAAACAAAACTGGTTTATCTTAAAAAGTCTCAGCTTTCACCCTATTGAAAAGCCGAAACACTGCTTTACAAGCAAATAATTTCAGAGATATAAAATTTTGAAAACTACAATTCCCAAAATTCCCAAACATGCAATGTACAAGAAGACTTTCGTAAAGGATCACCAACTCTAGGATACTCGGTTTTGTTAAATTCTTAATGTTTCATAAAGCTATCGTCCTTAGGTAAATGTAAAAATGCTTTTACCTTGGAGACTTCATAAGATTTGGTTCCAGTCAAACACAATTATTCCAGGGTGTACATCAGAGCAACTCCAAATTCCCATTTGTAGCTAGGACCAACCATTTCTGCAGTTCCAAAAAATTATCTTAGCTTAAAAGACCTATTTAGAAAAAAAAAAAAAAACAGGCAACCATTAGCATTTTAATGTTGAAATGATGCAGATTTCTAGTAGCAAAGTAATGTTTTTACAATGATGCCTGCAGTACACAGGAGCGCAGTACACAGCCAAACACATCCCCATCTGTAAATTCTCCTAATATATGGGGGTCAGAGTGGGTGTTGCACACTCACTAGCCCCATATCAGTTAAAATATCGTTTTAAATAGAAGTTCCCTCAGCAGAAGAGGCACTGAAATATTGACAGAGGGCCCCAAACCATTCATGATGCAGAATTTCACCTCCCCATTTCATTAACCATGGAATGAAAATGGGAACTGGAGATGACTCATTCCTAGGAGTTCTGCAACTTGCCCAGGTTTACAGAGCAGTGCAAAAGCCAGCATGAGGATCTGAATTCCCAGCTTTTGTGTGATATAAACCTGAAAAGGATGCCAGACAATCTCCAAAGATGCTTCTTGAAAAATGTACATGGGAGGCACAGGGCACACGTCTTTCCGGCGTAAAGCCCCACACCCAAGTACAAAGGTCACCCATTAACACAGTGATTGGCACAGCATGTTCCTTTACTGCACGAGCCTGAAAGAACTTTTCTACTTAGTGAAAACATTTTTACAAGAAGGACTGAGGGGATTCCAAACTGAAGACATCTCAAGAAAAATACGGAACATGAAACAACACCATTTTCAACATTGCTAAATTAAATACATCCATCCCTCCCAGGGGGTAGAGAGATCAGAGAGAAATAATGATGTGCGTCAATAAATATTAAAGTTGCAAATATTATATAAAAATGATACGCAGTCTAATTACTTTAGAATCCTGTTGAACCCATTACAAATCTACCAAAAAGCACAGCTGATTTTTTTCTCTTCTTCAGAAGTCCCAGAAGATAATTACACATTTGCCTAGACAGCATGTTAGATGATAGACTTAAAGACCCACTCCTTAGTGACTCCAGGAGAGAGACAGAGCGGGCCTTGGTGATTAGCTCAGAGAGAGGCAAGTGGCTTTGAATAACTGTATAAATATGTGGTATTAGAAAAAAAAAAACAACAGTGGAGAATGTTCATCTCCCAGATGCTCCAACTTTATTAACTATGTTTGCCCTGATGTCCACCCAAGGGCACAATGTGACCTTCTGTTATTGGAAAGAAATACACAGTATAATTCATCAGAATCCATCATAACGAACTCCCCACAATTTAGAAACCAACATGACCTTTCCTAGCTAATATTTATCTTGTTTTCTTCACACAAAAGGAACCACTGGGGATTCTTTGTTCAATTCATTAAAAAAATGGATCCATCAGTGAAAAGAAATGTGATCTAATAGTTCGTATGCCAGACAAGGAGCCAGGAGTTTAATTTTAGGCTAAGCAGTAACTCATTCAGGCAGATTTTCCCAGAGTGTACCCTAGGTACTTGGTTAAAAGGATTAACTCTTTCTTATCATTTCCAAACTTTAGCATATGGTCCCAGCCATCAGCAATTTGTGCTTGGCCCCAAAAGCTTTTGCTGTCAATCATTTCATTTCTCTCTCGCTTTCCAGTGAGAGCCCAGCCCTTTCTGCCAGTCTGCCTCAAAAGTCACTCGGTTTTGAAGAGTCTCAGTACTTGCAATGATGAAAGGCACTGTCCATATCTAAACTAAAAAGGAAAAGAATTTGTAATGTGTCCGATCATCCCCAGAATGAATGAAAAAGACTCAGCATTTGGATTCTGGGAGACATTTTTCATCTTTCACCTTATGTATTGGGATTATGTGGAGACAGTCACTCTCCCATGACACAAATGCAGAATCCCTGTTTATGCCTCCAAGAGGTTTGGAGGTCTACGGGCAGAGGAGGCCAGTCTTCAGATGTTTAATTTATTTCTGTTGCACACAAGAAAGAATTTTGCCTACACTTGATTTCTTATCAAGGCAAGAGCAAGGGTTTCCCTCTTCTTCTCTCCGTCTGCCTGCCTTTGCTATTAGTGGGGTGAATTCCCCAAGGGGATTCTCCTTTGAGAACAGAGTCCCTTACTTCTTGTAGATAAGCACCCTGGGACTATCTCTTCTGTCAGTTTTGCCACATCCACCTCCATCCACATGTGTCAATCTGTACAGCATCAAGTTCTCCTCATCGCTTCTGTCTCAAAATCTACAATAATGAAGTACCACAGTTTCTTTTAAAGTCGGTAAAGTCGGTAAACACAATGACTTTAAAACCTGGATTTAATCTTGAGGAGAAATCAGACTGACTCAATTTGAGGGACATTCTCCAACATAATTGTTCTGTATTCTTTAAAAGTGTCAAGGTCATGAAAGACTAAAAACAAATCTGAGGAGTTGTTCCAAATAAAGGAGACACACCTGGCAACTAAATGTACCTGTAGCCCTATGTTGGATCTTGGGCCAGAAAAAAATACACACACACAGGTTTATTCTCAGAAAGAAGCTCTCACACACATAGATACATATACATAAATATACACACATATAGCTATAAAGGACATTACTGGGACAATTAACTTCTAAATAGAGCCTGAAGAGTAAACTAGTGTTCTATCAACACTAAAACCCCTGCTTTTGATCATTCTACTATAGTTAAGAAAGAGAATGTTCTTACTATAGAAAAAAATGTACACCGTGAAATATTTGAGAAAAAGGGGTACACCTCCAGTTTATTTTCAAATGATTTTGAGAAAATAAGAGAGAGAAACTGAAAGGAAGGGGAAAGGAAGGGCGGCAAAGAGTGAATGCATGAATGAATGGGCGAATGAGCCCGATGTTAGCCATCAGTGAATCTGGGGGTATCCGGGAGCCCTTTGTACTATTCCTCCTTTTCATGAAGTCGAAAACTATATCAAAATAAGACATTAAGTATTTATTTAAAAGCTTTCAGTTCTAAAGTCTACTGAAATGAGTTAGAATTTATGGCCCATGCTAAACAGTGGGGAGAGCTGGTAGTTGGAACATTCTGGTTTGCTTGACTCTGAACACTCGCCCAAGCCCCCAGAAAAGTTTATTTGTTTTTATTAAAAAGCACTTATACATAGTGCCTACTGTGGGCCAGGCACTGTGTTAAGTACTTTAAAATACCAATTAACTTAAAAACAGGATTTATTTACAACCAGACATACAGAAGAGGAAAGTAAGGCACAGAGAGGGAAGTGACTTGCCCAAGGTCACTCAGCTAGCACGTGGCTAAGCCAGGATTCAAATTCAAACCATCTGGCAGCCAGGCACCTACTGTTTCAATTCTTGTAAAATTATTCCCAAAAGGCATTTGTCCCTTTTCATACTTTAGTAAACAGACTAAAAATAAATCCATCTTGCTTCAGGAATTCAACATCTTGATCATCAACCTGAAGGTAAAAATCCCATCTGTGGACAAACGCAAATAGGCAGTTGGACTATATTTCCTAGCAGATTCTGGCTTGAAACCTAAGATGTTTTATATTAACCCCTAAAGAAATTTTGCCTCCTCTCTGAAACGCTGATGAAAAATCATGATTCTGATTTGCTGCAGATTTATTAAAGGCTTATGTCATTTTCTAAATTAAGACCAAACACACCAGAATTCTACAGGCCTTGAGTGCTGAAGTTGCCATTTTTCAAGCAGATGGAAAACAAGTTCATTTAGATCACAACCCCTCTAAAACAGGTCAGCAAAAACATACCAGAGCCAGAATATAACATATGAAGGCTACATTACTTTTGTTGATTTCTATGAAGGAATTCAGCATCAAAGCAAAACCGAAAAAAAGATGGATTTTTGTCTGTGCATCCACTCAGACTCATTTCCTGATAAACTCCGATTCCCAAGCATTTTTGCAACAATACAAGGCAGATTCTGGCTTAATAACAAAACAAACACTCCCCATGGGACCAAACACACTGCCCTTTCCTGCCTACCCATTAGCAGAAGAGTTTTTCAAGCTCCATCTTGCATCACCTCCTGAACGGGCACGTCTGAATAATGAGCTGTTTCCAAACTCACCACCAGTTCATGTGACCTCCCGGGGTGGGATCTACCGGGATGACCTGGTGATTTCAGTTCTCAGCCCCTCGGGGAACACAGCACAAGGAGGGATCATTCCTCCAGCTAACGATGTAAGAGGTGTCACCCTGAAGAGCTTAGACACAGTGGTAAATCATTTCTCCACACTAATTTCTAATCCAACAAGAAATAGTCTGATAGAGGTAAGAAATGTTTCATAAATAAGCAACCAACGTGGGTTTGGAAAAAAAATTTTTTTTTTAAGTTTTATGAGTGGAAAAGGGGTGAAAAGATAGTCCAACTAAGTGATATCTTTCCCAGTCACCGATGGGCATTTTGAAACAGAAGTTGCCTACATAAAATAATTCACCATTTCTCCAGACAGGAGTGAGGACAGATGTTTCCATTTCCAGTTGCTTAAATAACACAACCACACTGAATTGTCTTCTGGAAATTTTCAAACCCCTTTCTGCAAAAGTATACAAAACGAAATGTAACCTCTCTCTTAACAAATACATTCTGAAATAAGGCAAGGATTAATGATCTTCTTATATTTATAAGAGTGTGCTGATAAAAGTAAATGTATTTAATAGGTTACTGATGCTCCTGTGAGTGTATTTCAAACACTGATACATGGCTGATGCCTCCACTGAGCTGTCATTTATGAGCACCACATGATGCAGGACACTGCTTTGTAAGTTAGAGCATGTCTGCCATCATATGTTAAAGCGGGCACATTTTTCTGCCAAAATGTGGTGTGTACATGCACACAAACTACTTTTTTTATTGCTTCTTTAAAAACACCTATGAAGAATTTACTACTGAACCATTTTACAAGATGCTAAAGCATGTCGTAAATGAGCCATTAAAAACAGTAACTGTCAATTAAATATTAAAGAATTTTATAAATGGCATCTTGATTTCAAGCATGACCAATACCATCTCATCTAAATGAGGTGGTAGGGAGTCCTTTAAACAGGCTCTTCTAGTCGGAGATG